AAATTTCCATATCCCTTGCCAGGAACTGTGAAGGGCAAGCAAATTCAGTAAAACTTAATAGTATAGTAATTTTGTAATATTTTAAAGAGATACTCAAAATAAAATCTGCATCTCAAGAGGGGATAACAACTGGTTACATCAAAATTATCAAATAATTCTCTTTTATTATTATTTTTGAACTATAGTGAATGAACCGAATTAACCCACAATTTCTTTTAAAAATATGTTACTTTTGAAATATTTTTTGAAATAAACATTTTCTGTGCTGGATTCAGGTATAACTCACAATTGTGCCACTTCAATTAAAAACTGAAAAAAAAACTTAAATAAAATGTCGGGCGCAATTCTGGAATGAACTGATGAAATGCACTCGCTAGGGTGAACCTCAATGTGTAGTAAATATTATTGTAGTTATATAACTTGCGTTTTCAATGCCAAAAGCAGCTAAGGGCACATGTATATGGTGGAATTATTCGCGTTTGCACGGAAAAAAGCGTACAGTGTTCGTCATCTGTATAGGAACGGATTGAGGCAAAACTGTAAAGTTGAGTGATCGATACACATATCTATGTCTAGTGACTGCTCTCCCATACCATAACGAATATTGCATTTAGGCTTTCATGGATTTTTAAATTATACTGTCATTATTATCATTCCAATTTGTATACATATGCAGCAAAACGCGACGCTATTCGATCATTTATATTACTATAATTTTATAAAGTGAGAGCTGTGTCTTGTATTTTCAACCACGTTATATATTTTGTAAATTAAAACTATTGTAAAAAGAAATAGTAACATGAATATACAACGATAAACAAAGATATTACAATATTATTTAAAAATATATATAAAAAAAAGTAAAATAAAATTATAATTAAAAATAATAAAATTAATACTGCAATCATATTAGTAATATAACGTATAATATAAAGTATAATTTTTAGATTATAATAAATTTTTTAAATTAGGTGTTTTTTATAAAAAATTTAAGTATAAAATATATATTTCACAAAAATCAAATATGTTGAAATAAAAATTTGAAAATTATAAATTAAAATCAAGCTCTATATTAAGAAATAACAAATTAAGGACACTTTGATTAATTGACTGTTGACAAGTAGTTTTAGTTAAAGATTCACATCAAAAACAAATCTGCATCAAAAGTTGCCAAATCCCTTTCACAATGAGAGCTCTAATCAAACGAAACGGGCCCGAAAACAGACAAACACACACATCGAAAACAACTTTTCCGACAGACGCAAATGTCGTTGTTCAGTTGCGGCGCGTACGGGGATGCTGCATGTATTTATTCCATTGTCAGAGACGCGCAGAGAAAAGAGAACAACCGGTGTCGTTTTTATACCGAAAAACAAACATCGTACAGCAGCGGCAGAATAATGTTGTTGCAAAATGTAAAGCGCTCTCAGAATCGCGCGGCAGGTATTATTCACGAGAGGCAGCGCGAATGTTGTATAATAATTTAGGACAATGGCGCGAAAAAGGTGTTGGTTGGCTCTCGCGTTTTGTTTTTCGCGTGCTGTTTATATTGGCGGCGTGATTGGCACTCGCAGCAGAGGACGAGAAATGTATAAAGTGTGATTAAACGATGGCGAGCGCCGCTGCTGAATTAGTCTTTGGTGTGTGTGCCGCGCGTTTTGCACACTGCTCATGTGTGTTGTGTATTTATATATTGACTTTTCCATCAAGACTAATGTGAGTGCGCGAATGTTTACCTTCAGCCCAATTTGTTAGCGCGCGCGAGTTGCCTCTCTCGCGAACGTAAATATTCGTCAGCGAGCATTTTTTATTTAAATAGAACAATAAAAAATGTAGCGCACAAAAGGAAAAATGCGTCGTGTGTGCTGCGCGCCGCTAAAAACAAATCAAATGTGTGTGCTTTGTGTACATTCGGAACAAACATGCGTGTTCCTCGACGGGGAAGAGACCAAATTGGCTCTTCATCATCGCGCCGACAATAAATCCTAATTACCTCTCGCGTCCAAGTTATTTTTTCAGCGCACACCCATTCACTCTCTTTTGTTTCGTTCGTGTATGTATAGTTTTTTTTTCTGTATGCGCATTTTTGCAGTTTGTTCGCAGAGAGAGAGGGAATAACTCACTCGCACTTTCGCAGCCTTTTTCCAGATTAAAAGTAAACTTGCCGCTTTGCTCGAGCAATAATTGCATTACCGATGAATAATTCGCGCTGCATACACGCGTGATTAGCTTTGTTTGCACCCCTTCCGCCCCTTCTGCGGGAAATCATTACGGAAACAAAATCAGAATTATATTGAACAAATAACCGCCAGCACGGCCGTATTTACAATTAGTGAAGGCAAATTGTTTGCCCCACATTGGAATTATATAAAATTTATTTCATGAGTAGCAAACTGTTAAGCCTCATTGCATGGTAATTCAAGTAAATAGTGAAACTTAATTAATTATTCAACCATTCAAAAAAAAATAATATTTTTCTTTAGATAAAAGTTTCACAGCTTATATGGTCGATGTAAATACAATTACAATATTGATCTAAAGCAGAAGAAACGTTTCTTGAATTTCATTTGTGTCTGCGTAAAGTAGATTTTCATGGAAGGTTTTTTTGCAGATGAAACGGATTGATCAGGCAAAGGTCAGCTTGCTCAGACAAAATAAAATAAAATAAAATATTTGATTATTGTGATTATTGAAATAAGTACATTTTTTTATTATCTCACAATAATTCAATAATAAAACTTATTTTTCCCTTTCCCACCATTATTTAAACACCAAATCTCATTCAATATTCCAAAGGTTTACTCCGTTGTAGAAATCATTGAGTTACAAGATCATCAGAGGAGCATATCAAAGCTCAACCAAGAATTATCGCAACAACACTATTTGAATAACTCCAACACCATGGATTAGAAGGTAAGTTATTGAAAAAATTTATCAAATTTATATGCGTCTTCATATTAAATTGATATCTTTTGTGAATAAATAATTTGAATATAATATGTTTTTGTTTTGATTATAGTCGTATATCCATAATTAGAGTGGGTAACATTCAAACGTTCACAAACTCAAGAAAGTTTTGTTTGCTTGAGGTCTCTTAATTAATCTATAGAAGGTTGTGCTTAACCAGAGCCCGTAAAATTATTTCGACCGACAGACTCGGCAAATAACACAATACAAACTCGCACAAATGAATTTATTAATGCTGAATGCAAGCTTGTACACAAAAGTTAGCCGCATTACGCAAACTGCCGAACGCAAAATAATTTGATCCTGCGAAGGCGGCTGAGATCAAACAGAACGTTTTACCTCAGCACCAAAACTTGCTTGTTTCAGTAATTTAATGAGTTCAAATTGATGCTTTCTATACAAAAGTTAAAATTCAGAATGGTCGTAGCTTAAACATCAAGATATTGAAGGTTAAAATATTCAAAGAAATGGAAATAAATTGACCAAAATTAATTCTGCTTAACGTTAATTTGGTTTTTAACAAGAACCCCGCACAAACTTATCTTTTTTATGACCAAAATGATACCAGTGATACCACCCTTCTTGGAAACACTTGGAAAATGAAGTATTTGCTTTCTTTTACACAAATAATTAAGAACTTCTGTTTAAAAAAGTGAATTCAAAATTGTTCAACTTGCGACTAAATTTATATTTTCAATTGTCATCACAGCCGTTACTCTCTTTTAAGACAGTAGACTTTTTTTAGTCTAGCATTGTTCAAAGCCTTTGCAGTTCACGATGATTTCAATTTTGTTCAAAAATTATTTTTCTTTCAAATTGACAATTGTCCGTGAAAAATTATTTAAAATAACATATCTTCACAAAATAATTTTTAACACAAAATTTGACATTTAATTCAAAATATTTTTTAAAAAACAATTAAATAAATTTTCTTAAAATAATTTTTGTCAGAATATTGAAACGTGTGTTTTGAGCGTACCTTTCTCGGCGGTGGTCGAAAGAAGACTAAATTATTTTTCGGGTAAATGATTATGTTTTGGGATTGCATTGTCTTCACTTCGCCACTGCATATTTCTTTATTTTGTGCGCGGCCTAAGCTGATGCCTGTGGGTGCGGATGGGTTTATTGCTCTTTTGTGCACTTTCAGTAGGCGCGCCGGCACTCTTTTTCTTTCTCCTATTTTCTCCTGACGAGCGAAGGGCTTCTGCCGCGACTGATTTTCTTCTCTTCCCTCTTGGCGGCGCCGGCCACGAACACTTGCTTTTTTCTTTAAAATAATTCTTGGACGCCTTGATGGGGGCTATACCAGTTTTTTTCAACCGTCAAACTCGGCTGGCTGATTGTATTGCCGATCGCCACCATGGCCATTGATTCTGCCACCACTTTCTTTTTGTAATTTTTCTCGCGGTGAATAATGCTGGCGCCCTCAAAATCGATTTCAAGGAAATTTCTCGCCACACTTTAATGAACAATTTGACACGCTTGAATATAAATTGACTAATAAAAAAATTCATTTTTTCAAAGATAATTGAATTTAACAAAAAAAATTAATATGGTAACATGAAGTTAGTTAGTTTTATTCTTTTCATTTATATAACTCCATTCGTACAATGAAATACAAAAAAATCTTACATCAAGTCAATTCGCAAAAATTAATATAAAACACTAAAAATAATTATTGTCTTACTATCTTTTTAGTTTGACCTTCTTGATTTTCTTCGCGTGTGTCATAGAAAAGTCTACGTAAAAAAGTCTATGATGAATATAACTTAATTTTTTTCATTAAGTGAAAAGATATATAAAAAAATATATAAAAAAATTTAACGAATAATATAGAGGATTTTATCTTAATCTGCTTTTTAGGAAACATAAAGCCAATATAAAGAGTTATTTTGAAACAAATTTCAAGTCCTCCTCATTGTTACTCCTTAGTTGCTCATCTTATCTATCCGTAAAGCAATATTTAATTAGCAATACTATTTTTTATATTCTAAACCACATTTTTTATAATTAAAAACTTTATTAGGGTTTATTATATTAGTTTTATTATTAAAAAAATAAGAGTAAAGCTCAAAGAAATATGGAAATTTCAGCCAAAATTTTTTGACTACAAGATGAATTAGCACATCTGTCAGTATTACATTGATTACAAAGGTTGACGTGTCCGCAGGGCAAATTAACTTTAGCAACGCGATGAATATTACAATTTGAACAAAGAAGATTATTGGAGGAAGAAGTGGTCGTCTCCATCATTTGCTCATTTTCTTGGTATGTGTTTCCATGCAGAATTTGTCTGATAAAATCTGATCCCTTTTGCATGATGAGGTGTTGGCACCCCGAGTTCCACTTGGCGTGTTCCCTGAAAGGGTCGTCGCCGTGCGCCCAGTCCTTCAGGCCAAGGTTGCAGTGGAAACAAACAACTCGGTCTCCAGTATTGGTGTAATAAAATCCTGAATTTGCGAGAACTTCCGGCGTTTGGGAAAGTCCTTTGGGCCAATTCTTGAAAGTTTTTAGACGTTCCGAAATTAAAATTTTTCCAGGGTGCTTCGGTGAAGTGCAGTTGTGGATATTCAAATCAGAGGCCGTGATAAAATGGCTGTCCAATTTTATCGCGATGTTGCTTCCATATTTTTCAAGCGGCTCAACGTTGAATGGGTTTGTTCCAATTGAGTCGCAATTTTGTTCAATTAATTCCTCGCCAATTTTTATGTTGACGACGCCACCTGGATTTATCAAAAAGGGGCAGTTTTTATTCCACCGTTTGTGCTCGCCGTCGGGTGTGTCTCCCATTTCCCATCCGCGCACCTCCAAATTGCAAAAAATGCAGCAGCAATTGTCCTCTTGGCCGCTGTAGTAAAATCCCGATTTTGCCAAATCGACGGGCGTCACAAATCTCCAATCCTTCTTTTTTAGCGTCGAATACAGTCGGTGAGATTCATATTTGTAATTCAAAACACTTTCAATGTTTCCTAATGGGACATTTTTAGATGATCTTTTGTCGATGACACAATTCGGCGTCATTTTCAAAATTTCATACGCAGTCTTACCTCTCAAACACGTCGTATCTTTGGTTTCAAACTTGCAAAAGTTGCACTTGATTGCTTCTTTATCTCGATCATAAAAAAGTCCAGCTTCTGCCAGTGGTTCAGGATCGATTTCAAAGTTTAAAGGGAAAGTGAACAGGCGGTGCAGTGCGATTTTTAAAATTAACTGTAATCCATCACAAAGCAAATTTTGCTGCTTTTCTCTCGATGAAGACGCATCTTGAAATGGCCTCCTTAAAAAACTAAGTTGTCTTTAGTTTTAATTGGAAAAAATTCAATTCAATTTGACTAACCTTTCAGGTATATTTCCTGATTGTGAGGCGGAGTGCTTACTGTCTGCATTTTGATGCTTAGAATTTTCCATCACTATAGATAGAATATATGTTTCACCAACGGTACAGTGGTGTGCGGTGCTAAGGTTTGGCTCGCACACTGCTGCTGCATGACGTCATCATCATCACTCTCCCTATTATAGTCGGCAAGTGTTAGACTTTTTAGTCTAAGTAAGTCTAAATCATAGGCGGCCGGTGACTTTTCAAGTGATGCAAGTGCAGCCCAAAGAATCCCCCCCCCCCCCCCCCCGGAAAATCAAGTTGCTATATTTTTTTTGAAAAATTTTTTTTTTTTTGAAATTTCTTTTATGAAAATTTTTTTTAATTTTTTTTTTTAAAAAAAATAATGTTAGTTAATAAATAATGGCAGATTTTCCAGCTTGCTGAATAATATTCCTATTTTAAAATTCGCACAGCGTATGTGACACGGAGGGTAATTATATGTTTAATTTTAATAAATTTTCTCTTTTGAATTTTGCATGTCATATGAGCATTTCCAAGTGAATCTGAGGGGCGATTGGAGGATTTTGAAAATGGAATAACCTTACTTTGATTTTTACATATGTTCAAGAAGGTGTCTAGGGGTATCCATTCACAAATTTTCAGACCCCTAAAAAGGGGCGTTCCCAAAAATTTTGATAGGTCAAAAATGGGCAAAAAATAATTTCAATTTGATTTAACTTTGGAACGGATAAAGCTATATTAACGGTTCTAACTGATCCTAGCCTAACTTTTTACGCTGAACAACTTTGCTGTTAACACCAAAGTTGTAGGTCAAAGGTCAAGGTCACTTTTTGGTGACCCTTGGTAAAAAAGTCAATTTTTGAAGATGATGGCCACCTTCGATGTTTTTCGTGGTATAGGAAAAAATGTAGCCCGTGAAATTTTGCATCACATACGTAAAATTTGGGAGGGTGTTATTTTTTGTTTTTGAGTAATTAACCCCTAAATACAAAAAAACGTGTCTGACTAGGATATAAATTATTGCAATAATTGCCAAAAGCAAAAGGAAACAAAAGGAATCGTGCCAGTTTGGTTCCAATGCTTAAAAAACATCATATTAGGGTGAATACAACATACATCTGACCCCAAGGGTCTTTCAGGGGTGCTTTTTACCCTTTCGATGGTCTTTTAAGCGTTCGGAAAGTTAATTATATAATTAAACTGTATTTGATATCAATTCCTTTGTTTTCCGGTGCGGAAAAGACGAATTTTAGGTCAATTACATCGTTAGTCATCATTTAGACCATATATTTTAACATCTCAAAATCTTATGAAAAAATCTTTTTTAGTAAATTAAAATTTATTAATGATTATGTTAAATTCTTATCCAAAATGACAATTAGAGATGTAATCGACCTAAAATTCGTCTTTACCGCACCGGAAAACATAGGAATTGATATCAAACACAGTTTAATTATATAATTAACTTTCCGAACGCTTAAAAGACCATCGAAAGGGTAAAAAGCACCCCTGAAAGACCCTTGGGGTCAGAAGTATGTTGTATTCACCCTAATATGATGTTTTTTAAGCATTGAAACCAAACTGGCACGATTCCTTTTGTTTCCCTTTGCTTTTGGCAATTACTGCAATAATTTATATCTTCGTCGGACACGTTTTTTTGTATTTAGGGGTTAATTACTCAAAAACAAAAAATAACACCCTCCCAAATTTTACATATGTGATGCAAAATTTCACGGGCTACATTTTTTCCTATACCACGAAAAACATCGAAGGTGGCCATCATCTTCAAAAATTGACTTTTTTACCAAGGGTCACCAAAAAGTGACCTTGACCTTTGACCTACAACTTTGGTGTTAACAGCAAAGTTGTTCAGCGTAAAAAGTTAGGCTAGAATCAGTTAGAACCGTTAATATAGCTTTATCCGTTCCAAAGTTAAATCAAATTGAAATTATTTTTTGCCCATTTTTGACCTATCAAAATTTTTGGGAACGCCCCTTTTTAGGGGTCTGAAAATTTGTGAGTGGACACCCCTAGACACCTTCTTGAACATATGTAAAAATCAAAGTAAGGTTATTCCATTTTCAAAATCCTCCAATCGCCCCTCAGATTCACTTGGAAATGCTCATATAATTAGATTTTTTTTTTAAATTGATAAGGGGAAGGTATCCGTAAATCATTATTTTTTTTTTTTTTCAGTAAGAATGCATTTAATTTACAATATTTTATTTTATGAAAATCATGAAATAAAATATCGTAAATTAAAACTTTCACGGTGGCCAGTGAAATTTGAATTGACTAAAAAATACAGATTTATATTGAGGAAAAAAATTCTCAAAATTTATCGTTGTTAAAAATGTTGGAAATCAAAATACACGACCTTATTAAGCTTACTTCAATGAGCAAATAATACTGAATATTATTGGATAAATCGGATACTCAATTTCAATGGCAAAAACAAATAACATTGAATATTGGAAATGAAGAAGTCTGGCTTGTCCTCGTAGTAAAAATTGTTTTTATTTAAAAAACAAATGGCTCTACCAATTTTGGTCACTGTCTGCAACCCTATTTCATGAGCAAGAGATATACAAAAAATCAGCAAATTATAAAAAAAACACCACATTTAATTATTTTTAATTTTTATTTTAAATGTGTTTTTCAATTTTGCTTATTTTATGTATTTTTCTTGCTCATGAAATGGGTTCGCAGACCGTGACCGAAACTGATAGAGCCATTTGTTTTTTTAATGAAAAATTTTTACAACGAAGACAAGCCCGACTTCTTCGTTTCCACGATCATCTCCTGGAGAGCCAACTTCTTCAAACAAATATTATATATTGACTGATTCTTTAATTTAATTTGTCAAATTAAAAATTATACAAATTTAAAAATATAATGCGTGAAAATTTCACCTTTCACCCAGCATGTTTTAACGTTGAAATCTTTTTATTTTTAATTTTTATATAAACTTATTAAAACAAAAATAATAATAAATAATGTAATAAGTTATAAAATATATTATTTTAGTCCAAATCGTGGAAATCGGTAGAAATGAAGTTACGGAAATTGCTATAAAAACATGGAGATCGCAGATTTCATACTGCCTTGTTGTCCCGCTTCCCAACAAATATCACAATACCTCTGAATTGGAGTTGAGAAAAAGTTGACGCAAAATAAATCTTCAGTACTTTAAAAACTGAATAAAAAAATATTAATAACCTAAACTAAACAAAAATGCTAAATTTATTGTAGAAGTTTAAGAAACTATCAAAAAACAAAAATCATTAAAAATTGCATGCACTCGGAAATTGTATCTGAATCTGAATGTGGCAAATTGATAAAAAATTATTTTTGTTATTTTTTATTTGAATGGAACTCCGCAATCGGAGAAAAAATTAAAACGATTAGGGTTTTTTCCCGTCAAAACGACTAATAAAGAAAAATTTTCCTTAAGATTTCAAATCGAACTATATAGTCGTAGTCGAAATTAAAAAAAAAAAAAAAATTAGATGAAATTTGCATGCCATGAAAAACTAAAAGAAAAGATACAAAATTTATCAACTTTTTTTCTCAGCTCTACTTTCGAGTGCCGAGACCAAATTTATACGTAAAAAAGCAATGATTGCGGAGTAAGAATAAAAATATGAATTATTTCTTACCTTACTTGACAAATCAAGTGCAAAATACGAACGAAAATTGCTTAAAAGTTAGCCCAAAATAATGTAAACAAACGTGAAACATTTTGGCGGTAGGCATTCAGCTGATGCAAAACAACTCATGCGCCTGCGGTCGCCCACCCCGCTGAAGGCACGGGAAGAGCGGGGAACGCATGCAAAGTTCACCCGACCTGCACTTGACATTGTTCTTATGGGAGCCCCTGTAAAGTAGACAATTTCGCGACACCCTCCCCTGTTTTTGTGACGTAAAATGCAAGTGCCGAACGCCAGCACTTGAGCCGATGATACCCGATCCTCGCTTCGTGCCCCTGAGCTCAGCCCGCCCCTCTCCTGCCTCTGCCGCTCGGCTGCCGGCGCATAAGGAGACATCGCGAGAGCGTGCTAATAAAACGCGATAGAAAAATTTTAAAAACGAATTAGATTTTGCTAAAAAAACCTTTTCCCTTTTTTTTTTCTTAAGTGGCACTTGCAACACTTGTATGGACGAGCCGCCCATGGTCTAAATTAATACCTTAATTTGCTCAATAAGTCTTACTCACAATCAGCTGTTCTGTCATCGACCTATTTCTGTTTTCCAGAACTTTCCCAAAGGTTATCATTTATTAATTCCGTATACATCATGTCAGATAAAGACTGACACTGACTAAAAAAAATCATTTGCAATAACAATATAAAAAGTATATATTATATGTTCCAGTTTCCAGATATTCAAAAGCAAAATATTGAAAATAAGATTTGTAAATTAAACAGCAAATTTAAACATTTATACCAAAATAATAATTATGTTGCATCTTTTTAATTGCAGCCTTATTAAAGTTTTTGTTAACCGCATTTAAATTATCACTCCGAAAATACTAATTAACTCTTTACTGAAGTAAACAACGACTTGTTAGACTCTATGTCAGGGTTAGATCAAATCCTATTAATCGCAGGTTCGGCTTAATTTCCTCAACTTAATTAACTCAGACAACTTCAAAAACTAATTTCAGATCTTTCCAAGATGAAAAACAAATCAAAATCGGCAGTTTGAAAAGAATTAAAGAAAGATTTTATTTGATGAAAATTCAGTTCAAAAATTATTTAATTAGAGGAAAATGGAAAATCGGTAAATTAATTCAAATCATGAATATTATAAATTTGTATTGTTTGTGTAGGTAGGAATTAGGATGGGTAGGAAAATAATTGATTTACATATTATTTGAAAATAATGGTTGAATGCACTCGGAGAAAATCACTCGAATATTACAAGTTCGATTTCTTGCACTCGGTTCGGGGTTTTGTACTTGCTTTAATGATGTGAAGAGACGAGCAGAAATCTTGCAGAGAGCTGAACTGCGTTGGCTTGCAGTCAGGCTGGGGTTGCACAGGGTGCAGCAGAATGACCTCGGGAGTCAGGGTGACGGACTCCGATGAGCAGCGAGAAGTCACGCAATGGACGACGTGCACTTCGCTCCCAATTACGCCGGGACGGCTCTGCGTTGCCGGACCAGTTGATGGTGATCGAACGGCCCCGCAGGGCGCGTTAGAAACTCCAACAATTCATTTGGAACCTCCAATTGACGAGAGGATTTCGGTCGCACGCTCCTCGAGCGGCGCCGACTTTTGAGACTTGACGTCTGCAAGGCGACTGACACGAAAACCGCACGAGGCCAATGGCCTTTGCCCTTGGCACCTATGCTGCTGTTATCAGCTGGGTGTATTGCTGATTGAGAGGTGGGAGGTGTGTGTGTGTGTCGTGCTGCTCTGGAAGTGAAGCTGGTTGCATAAATGCAGGCGCTCACCGGCACACACACTCCGCTTTTTTTTCTTCTCTGCTTGCTGCTCTCGCAGTTACACACGGCACTCGAGTGAAATGATGATAAAATCACACGCAAAATAAAAGGAAGGCAGGGTGTTTTAGGGATGGATATATTTGTGTATTTCATAATTTTAATTAAATATCCCAATATTCCTTATATCTCCCCGCGCCACTAAAATAATTTTACGAAGGAAAATTATTTTTGTGCTGGACACCTTTTAAGGTCTTTGACGTGAAAAAATTCCTATATCCTTCTTTTCATCAATTTCATCTGCCAATCGAAAAATATTTTCTGCGATTTGCTCTTTCAAAATGAATGGACCTACAAAATAGGGTAACAACTTAGCTGATATGCCTGAGCCTTTATTTGAAATTGCAAAATTCTTTTTCATCACTTTATCGCCTAATTTAAAATCACCAGGTCGTCTACGCAAGTCATAATAATGCTTATTTCTTTGATTAGCGTCTGCAATTTTTTGCTTAACTAAATCAGATCTTTTTCAATTTCGGAAAACGATTTACATATTTTTTAACTTGATTTGGGTCGTCAAAATTTGACTCGGACGAAATTGCGTTTGAACCTGAAAAACTTGGCTGTCTGCCCATAAACAAAAAATAGGCTGAAAAAGTGGTAGTTTCATGTCGGCTGCTATTCATGGCAAAAGCTATGTGGGGTAAAAATTTGTCCCACTCTCTATGATCATCTTGAATAAAACATCTCATTACAGTTTCAAAAACTCTATTTACTCGTTCGGAGCGATGAATATTACAATTTGAACAAAGAAGATTATTGGAGGAAGAAGTGGTCATCTCATAGATATAACATATTATGTTTCACCAACGGTACAGTGGTGTGCGGTGCGAAGGCTGCGGCTCTCTTTGGTAGAAGCACACTGCTGCTGAATGACGTCATCATTTTTACTCTCATATAGTCGGCAAGCGTTAGACTTTTTAGTCAAAGTCTAAATACAATAAGTCTTACTCACAATCAGCTATTCTGTCATCGGCCTATTTCTGTTTACCAGAACTTTCCCAAGGTTATGATTAATTAATTCCATAAACATCATGTCAGATAAAGACTGAAACTAATTAAAATAAAAATCATTTGCAATAACAATATAAAAAGTTTAAATTTATTTCAGTTCCCAGATATTCAAAAGCAAAATATTGAAAATAAGATATAAGATTTGTAAATTAAACAGCAATTTAACCATTTATACCAAAATAATAATTATGTTGCATCATTTTAATTTAGCCTTATTAAAGTTTGTGAACCGCATTTAAATTATAAATTATCACTCAAAAAACATTAATTAATTATTTATTGAAGTTTATTTATCGGGATTCTCTGCGATAGACTTGTACTTGTATTAATAATTGGTCGAGTAAAAATCCTTGTGTATTTTAGTATTTTACAAGCTAAACATATTTTTTATTTTACAAATAGATTATTCAGATTATTGAATAAAAAATTTAGCGAAGAACTTAGAATTCATTAAATGTCTAATACAGTCGTAGAAAATTAACTTGGAGTTTTCATTTATAAAATCTTTTTAAAACTTTAGTTACATGTTAAATTATTTCACTTGATTTTCCCTCCCTTTGCAATTTTGAAGCGTTTTTGCTCTTTTTATCAATTGTGTGGATTTATGGCGTCGGGTGTTTCTACATAATATGATCTTTTGATCTCTTTTCGTAATTCTTGAAAATTTTATATTCAAGATGAAATATTAATAATAATTCAGATTGCACGTCATTGAGAATTTCAAGGCAAATTTAAATACCAACATGAAATTCCTCACATTAATTTAATTAAAAATAGAGAAGAGAAATCCTAAGCTATGCATATTTATTATTATAATGACAATTAAAATTTTTCACCTCAAGTACCATTCTGGTTTCATTTGTAAACAGAAAAATTTAAAGATAAGCAAAAGGAAACAACAATGCAAAGTTTGAACAAACCAATTTTATCTTAAATTTCAGATTCAATCACTTGAATGAAACTTTGACTTTTCTTAAACAATTATTCCAATTTGCGTGTTCCATTGCCTGATAAATTTTGTTTTTGCATAATTACAAATTCAGCAATATTTACATTTAAAATCTCACGATCACTCTAACGATTACTGTAAATTATAAAAAATTCAAGTCAATAAAGTATTTAATAATGAAATTTTTCATAATAATTCTCGGAAGACAAGCGAGGCGGTGCTGAGGCGAACACACATGTCGTGGAATTTGCTCGCCGTGCGCACGCATAACTTGATTAAAAATTATCCTTTGATGATATTTTTCGAAAACTCAATTACCCCGCATCAGCCTGGTAAAAATGTATAAAAGCTGTTCGTCGCGGCGACGACCCTTTTGCAAGAGGCCCTTTTCACGTATACGTGCAAAATATAATTTTAATAATGGAGAGGAAGAGTAAATTAAATAATAAAATATTGCCGTGTGTGTGAGCGACAGGATATTGGGAATATTGCGCACAAAGAACGCCAGCCAAAGTCAAATTAGTCGGCCTGAAAGCAACTCTCTTTCCTGCCTCTCTGCACACAAACATGCGAATAAGCAAAGCAGCTTTCATATAAAATCGCATAAAAAAAGGAGAGAGAGAACACAGCACACAATAAATTAAGTAAATCCATTACACGTACGTACGGGAAAGAGAGGAGAAAAGTTGCCCTCGCGTCCGATACACATACGAACACGGTGCATGAAAGGCTAACGAAGTTGCCAACTTGTAAAAGCAAAACCGCATGCCTTGTTTGGGGATTTTTTTATTTTATGTCTCTCCGGTGAAAAAATATGATGCCGAGAGTTATAACTTAATAATACTGCCGTCGTGGCTTCGCCGACTAATTAATTAATAAGCCGCGGTGGCGCGTCCCCTGTCGGCTAATGAATACGTATTTTCTGAATTTTTGCTTTCTTTCTTTGTGTGTCCGACTGAGTGAATTTTACGACCTCTCGTCCACATGTGTATTTTTATTATCAGTATTAATGTGGGAATTTTTATGCGGACAGTCTCATCCGTTGACGATGATTTAATGGGCCAACCCTTTTGCCAGCAACTAATGTGAATATCTTGTATCTTTACCAGAGATGGACATTATAATTATATATTTGTAAATTTTTAATTATTTTTTTAACTAGAAATTCAATTTCAAATATTTCAAATTTATTTAGGAATTTGAAAAACAAAAAATAACATTGTTTACAATAAAAAGAGAAGGAAATTCAAATAAAATTCAATAGAATTTATTGTTATTTTCTAAATAATTTTTATTATCAACAATTACACATTTGATTTGTGTTTTGTTATGCAAGGCATTGTCATAATAATGATCTGTATAATTTAAATAAATTCCTTGAAGAAATTCTACCAAGAAAATAAAAAAAATAAATACCTGTGATGCTTATTTAAAAATCTATATGATCTTTATAATTAGTCAATAGTAAAGTAGTCTGCTCCTTTTTTTTTAACAAAAATCTTGAATTAAATTATTGAAAAGAGTTTCTCATTTTTGTGATCACTGTCATTTTGATGGAAAAAAAACATCAAATTTTGTAAAATAGCTGCAACTTGTCCTTCAACGTGAAAGGTAGTTAAGAAAATTAATAAATATAAAAAATCTATTTAGTGAAACAGATTAACATTTAATTTAGAATTTTCTTCCAATATGGAATGTTGAAAATGATATCGAAATTTCTTTGTAACATAGCTAAGAAAATTTTTCTTTGTAGTTAATTAATCTAAAAATAAATTAATGCTGATCTCACACTAGGCAAAATATAAAAAGTCTGAGTAATAAGTCCAAACAACCAGATTTTTATGTGAAGTAGAGAGTCCCGTGAATAAATTGAAGTTCAGATACCGATGGCAGCGTATCTCGGAAGCTGGGAAGACATCAATTCCTTGAAAAACTTGATGATGGCCTTGCCCAGCTCGGACTCCGTGAACATGTGGTACAACTTGATGGCCTGCCGGACTCCCTCGAGGAACAAACGCAAAACGAGAATGAGTTGTTCCACGGTGGCTCCGAACTCGAAGAGAATTTTCGAGTCTGTCAAAAAGGTCAGCAGCCTCCCTAGTCCGCTCTCGACCCCGATGTAGCCCTGCTGAACGAGGTTCTCCGTGACCACGACGATGACCTCGAGTGCCTGGTTTACCATGGTCAGCACGGGTCGGACGTCGTTCGTCATTCTGTCCAGTCGTGCGATGGCCTCCTCAACCATGTTTTCGGCCATTGCGCTGTAGTTTCTGCTAACATGTGTTACAGATTTAGATTTTTGTAAAAGTTTTCCTTGCTGCGTTCGGCTTACGAGTATTTTAAGTGAAGGTGAACTGAGCTGGCTTCTCTCCGAGCGTTCACATTTGACTAATCTGCGTAGGTGTCGATGATTTTGGTGCACTGCACCGAAATCAAATCAGTCGAGAACAGAGAAATTTTATCTAAGATAGGAGGAAAACCACTTTTTAAGACTAGAAAGCAAATGTTTGGGAAGCACCAAAATCAGACGTAAGACTTTTTGCGAGAGTGTACCAAATAACCGATGGATGGCGCGGCGCGGTCTTTAGTCGCTGGTGCTCAATCAAATTAAATCGGATCGGAGGCGCAGTCTTCAGCACACATCAAAGCTTATCCACGTTTTATTGGAAATCTTTTTCGCGCTTTTTCGATTTGAAAACATTAAATTCACTTAAGAAACCATAAATTTAAATTACTCACTTTTGCAATAAAAAAAGGATTAAAATAAAATGCTAAATTTTCACTTTAAATAATCTACCTGAAAATTAAATATCCGATGGATGGCGTGGCGCGTTCTTAAGTTCCTGGTGCTCAATCTAGTTAAATCGTGAGCTGCATTTCTTCGCATTTTTTTTTTTTTTGTAATATTTCGAAAAACAGTTCAATTTGAAATACGCATAGAAAACTAATTAAATATTGTTTGCATTTTAATCAATTGAAAATATTTAAAGCGGTTTATGATGAAAAAGAAAAACAAATGATATTTAATTTCCTGAATTGGAAAAAAATTAAATAATAATATGGAATTTAGTGATAAATTATAAAATTTTCTACTGGAAAAGTTAAGATTTTAATAAATAGATTCTAATGAGTCTGAGTATTCACAAAATCTACTTAAACATTGTATTTTAAACAAATTTTAGGTAAAAGTTTGTGAATTTTTCTTAATTTCCTCCTTCAGAAAATAGTGAGAGGGAAAATCTAAGAAATGAGCCTTTCTATGTTTAGCTTTGAATGTTGAGAGAAATAACGCAGCAGACATTACGTAGATGCCCTAAAATATATAATTTACAGCGCGAGCGCACACACATATAAACAGAGAGCGAGTGAATATAACTGCGCGCTGTGCATGGTGAGTGTGCATTTATAATGGAAGGGTTGTAATTTATTTTCATATGGAGAAGTTCTTGTTGATTTTGCCCCAACCCACACCCACCCGCTGCCAGCCAGCCGGAGTTTCCCCCTTGCCTCGCATGAAATAATTACTTGTGCCTCTAAATTAGATTAATGCCTCATATTTAATGCATAATATATGAAGCAATGAAGCATGCGCCGCGCGCGCGAGAGAAACTCGGCTCGCTCTCGAAAGCGTAATACAATAATACAAGGCGGGTAATTCTTATTAAATTACCTGCAACAGCAGCTACGGCGCCGCCATCATAATATTTCACGGCGCCAGCTGCCACTCGAAATTAAATTCTTTGCAATATCAAAATATAAGAAATTAATATCGATTTATAACTTTGTAATATTATTTAACTTAAGAATCTCTGTAAGGTTGAAGAAGAGGACGATCATGGAAGTGAGGAAAAACGGTCGTGTCCTTTTCATTTGATTAATTTTAAATCATTCAGGGTGTCAAATATAAATTATTTAGCTGATTTAGTTATGATTTAAAATTTAAATTTGTTTAAAAGTAAAATTTTCTTATTCCCAGATTATACTTCAAAAATATAATTTAAATTCACCATAGTTTAAATAATTCTAACTTTCATTTGATCTATGTTTATGATCACGAATTTTTTTGTGACAAAAAAAATAAATAATAAAAATAAAAAGGTCGAAAAATATTACAAATATTATGTATCTTCGTTAATTGGAATTGTTTCCGAATACAACCGTTGCCACTCACCTGAGCTCTTTGTCCAATTTCATATTTATTCGTGATAAAACGGTTCATCTTTTTTCCTCATTTCGTCCTCCCAGTGCGTGTGGGCAGATGAAAAATTTGCTGCCGGGGGCGTGCAGATGGAAACAGGGTTCGCAGCATTATTTTCATAGCTGCCAATAAACAATCGGCATGCAAATTGGACGTCCGCGATGACAAGTGAAAAAGGTGATTGGGAGCAGTGCTTTCTGTGTGTGTGTGTTTGTGTCAATAATCCCGGCCGGAATGGCGAGCGCATACGGCTCAGCTTTTTGATTAATCGCGTAAATGTATTATTTTTTGTTTGATCATTCACATGTAATATGACAATATACGTGCCGAGTCGCTTATCCTGAACCAAACACGCGACTTGTAAGCTTGCTTAATCTGTTGAAAAAATTTAAAAACTCTAATATTTCTCACCATAAAGTGTCTTATATTTTCCTAATTTATAAAATAAGATTTAAGTTTACAAAGATTATTTTTCATGCTATCCAGAATATCAACCCCTGGCGTTGGGAAATTATGCAACCTGCTCGTTTCACACGTTAAAAGTGTTGCATAAATTCGATTTGATTCGCTCAAGAGGGAGGAATCCGTATGAATTCTTTAAGCAATTTTTTAATATTCTGCCGAATTTATCACTAAATTTTATTTTAAACATCGACATTACATATTTCAACTTAAAAAAAACGGTTCTGGAATAAAGATTTAACAATTTATTTATTTTCCATACATTACTAAAAATTTTGCCAGGATTTTTTTAATCTCATATGTTTTTTTTCTTCTAACCGGTGCAATATTAAAATAATTAGTTTCAATAACGTATATTGCAATATTTCCACGCATTCTCTGCCAAAATATATCAACCTTAGACCATAAAATAAAAAATTCAATAGAATTTAATGAATTTAACTAAGATAATAACTGAACTGAAAATAATTATAAGACAACAAGACAAACCAAATTTTTAAAATTTGCATAAGCATAACTATTTAGATGGTCTAAAACATTCGAATTTTTCTCCACCCAAAATAAACTTATAACTACAATTTGATTTTGTTTAATTGGAAACTTTTTAATTCTGATTTAATAAATTATTTTAATTGGACCTGTATTAAGGACTGATAATTAAATGAGAATGAAATAATCTCTGATTATGGATTGCAAATTTTTTAATTTGATGCCAATATAATGTCCTTTCTCAAATATTATGGGTTTTATTAGAGAAGATGTCTCTAAAAAATAGATTTATCCGATCATAATTAATTTCCTGTCTGGGAATTGAGTATTGAAACTGTAAACTTATAACATGGCTTAATATTTTTATCAATGACTTGGCGTCGAATTAATTCATAAGATTGCAAAATTAATTTTTAATCATGTTAAATAATCCTATTCTTAGTGCCCATATATTTATTACAAACCATAGTTTAAATTCCAACACCCTTGAGCGAATATTTTATAAAATGCGCAGGCACGACACAGCGAGTGTTCGCACATTCAGCACTTCGGATCGCAGAGGATAAATGGCCGCGACGAGCAAATCAGTCCAAATTGCTCAGGTGTTTTTTTCCCATTGCGTTTGTCCGTCGGTGGCCCGCGCTTGTGCGTGCGAGTGTAAATGCATTGATTAATCATGTGGGCTCATTATTCATGCCCGAATATAATACTTTGACTGATTACAGGATAAAAACACGAAATTGATCAACCTGTCAGAGAGAGCGAGCGAGCGAGGAATTTATAAATGCGACTGTGCGCGTGACTTTTTTAATAATTCGGGTGCTCGAACCACGTGCAGATTAGTGCAGTTTCCCTTCTTTATTGCATTAATCGTTCGCTCGCGCCCCCGAAAAATTGATGAGAGCTTTCGATGATTGTCACGATTGATTAATCGTCGCCAATCGACAACGCGCGAAAGTTTTTTATTCTGCTCTGATGAAATAAACTCGATTTTTCTGATGCTAAAATGAAACAATATTTGCGTCCGCGGCTGTCGTCAATTGCTTTGTGAGCTATCGATGGTAAATTTTTTTTTATTTATTTGGAAGAAACTGAAGGAACCATTTTTTTAAATTGACTTACATTAAATTTATTAGAAAAATTTCTATAAAATAGGGAATCTTGGTAATTATTAGAATCTTTTCAGCTATTTTCATTTAATTTTGCATTTACAAGCTTAATTTTACTCCTTTTTTTCTTTAAAAAGCGTTAAATTTAATAAAAAAAAAAAAAAAAATATAACAAAAAAAAAATAAAAACATGTAACAAAGTGGAAAATTTTAATTTTTTCTTCTTTCAATACCTACAATTTCATCTGTATTAATTGCTCCAAGCATAATCGCAGATTGTTAGCTTAATCAAATAACTTTTCTCATACTTGATGAGCTAAATGAAAAATAGTTTCCTTAATTACTGTAAAAGCTTGCTTGTGTGTGTGTTTAAATATTGCGTAAAACCTTCAACTTTTGTGAATAAATAAGGATAACAAATTTACCGTGTTTCCAAAATCAACAAACCGTGCAGTACGCGCAGGTGGAAAATAAATCGCCCCTCGACAAACACAAGTAATAAAATATTGCCTGTTTGAATTTAACTTTTTGAACTCGGTCCGACTCGACCCAGCACGCGCTGCTTGAACAAATACGAAATACGATAAAAATATAAATAAAAAATCAAGGAACAAGAAACATAAAGCATGCCGTCAGCATTGGGTTGTTTAAAATTTTACTTGGTGTTTATTTTATGCCAATCCGCGTCAACCTGACAATGAGTGTCACGCCAGTTGAAAAATTCTCTCGAAATTACACACACAGAAGCAAAAGTTAATATTTGTTGCTGACAATTTTTGAATTAAAGGGAATTTAAGATGTCCAAATTTTATATAAAACAAAAAATAACCTAAAATGCATTTGATCAAAATCAAAGTAATAATATTCTCATAAATATTAAATTCCATTTTTTTTAATAAAAATGTGTATAATAATAATTTTTGCTCGTTTCCAACTATCTTTTTTTCAAGGCCTAAAAGCTAAAGATGTTTAAGTTTTATGCACGTATACAAGTTTGGTTTTTTTACTCCTTTTTTTAATATTTTACATACATGCGCGTCCAAAGTATGGCGTGCGGACTAATTTATAATATTTGCTCTTCTTACCACCGTGTTACGTTATTTACGACCGCCTTTACTTTTATACAAACAGCACCCGGCGGCCCAAGTATGCGGGAAAAGTTGTGAAATTCAAATAAAAGCAGCGAGCGCTTCTCTCTCTGCTCATGCACGTTGCCACCACGCTGTTGCCTCGGCGTTTTTCGCTAATTTTGCGGACGTGGTTGGCTGCGGAATAAAAAT